AGCTGAGCTTCCCTGGCTGCTTACACCATCAGCCAAGCAGCAAGAACGGTGCAGTAATTGTTCGTCCCCCGAGAGTCGATCCCCTTGTACTGTACGATCCTGCCTGGCACTTACTGTTCTCCTCCAGTCTCTTGCTGCCATTCTATGTCCACCCTCCCTCCTACTGTCATCATGGGTTGGATTCAGCGGTCGCTCTCTCAGCATGCCTGTCTTTGTGCCTCATCCATGCCATACTTTTGCAGATGGGTATGCAAGATTTGGCACATATTAGGCTTGTATCACATGATAAAATTGCTTCTTGAAAACCACCTATCACATTTTCGTATATTTATGTGTGACCTGTCACCATAAACCAGCCTGTCAATTATCTCATGAACATCCGCCACATACAAACTCCACATGACATGACTAATGTCACGTGGTATGTCCAGATTACATTCATACTGTAGAGCATCCTTTTTTAACTGTAGCAAAGTATTTACTTATTCAAAAGATGTACCTACTCAGAGAGTATTCGATTTTGAGTCACTTAAGAGAATCAGCGTTTTTAAATGAATCGCTTGAAAGAATGATTCAATGAAATTACTTGTCTCCATCTCCATTTGTAATTATGTAACCTAATTTAAAATATCTTTGATACTTTTGGTTGCTATCATGAATGATAACAGCCATAAGCACACTTCTATATACATTATATAATTTACCTTAAAAAAAGAGAGAAAGCATTACACACACAAATAGTAGTAGTAGTAGTATACTTTATTGTCCTCGAGAGGAAATTTGTTTTGGACTACATGTTGCTGCATATACATAAAGAAAAGAGGAGAAACAGTTGATTTTACACATTTAAAATTAAAAAGATAAACTTATTCAGCATTCGTACAGATACAGGAACAAAGGAATTCTTATACCGGTTTAGTTTGCAAAAAGGGACTCTATATCTTCTACCGGAGGGGAGCATTTCATACTGTGTAAAAATGAGTTTGGTCCCCCACGATTTTCTGTACCTGATTCAGAATGCAATTCTCATATAAATGTTGAAGATTCAAATATTCCTCATGTCCAACAGTTTTTAGTGCTGTCAACACCAGGGCTGCGTTCAGCCCAGACAAAACGTTGCATTTTTAAACAGAAACGGTGATACGTTGAACACACTGTTCTGATGACGCAAGTGTTGCAACTATGGGAGCTGAGAAGGCCATTCTTTGTGAAGAATTTTCGGAGCCTGATGAAGTCGGTATAGGCATATGTGTTAATACTACAAAATATGCCCAATGTTACAGATACTGCACTTGCCGCCCAGAACACGAGAGAACATCCCAATCGAGTGAAGGGATTTGTGGAAACTGAAATGGAAGTACACATCTTACCTAACTCAGACTAAAACACATCTATTTAGCCTCACATACTGACTTTATTTGTAGTTCATACTGTTTTAATAACCTGTATTTTCTTTCTCATCTTTAGGAAAAGCACTTAATTACCATTGTTTATTTCTATACCAAATGTCATACACTTGCAATAAAGCTAAAAATATAAACAACTACATCATTATGTTGATATCCAATATTTTTACAATAAAACTTACGACAAACATGTCTTCTAATATCCTCAGTTGTTGCGTATACCGAGCTGCATCGAACACATTTGTAAATTACTTTCCTTGAACCCATTGTGCAAGTTCACTTTAATAAAGCGTGCTTTATATACATGTAGCTGCTGATTGGACTGCAGTTCTGACACACCCACCAAACAAGAGAAAACGCATCTCAGACCCCGTTGCACACCGGTGCACGCCGTTTGCAGGAAACATGACGTTCAACCTGGAAACCGTAGCAAAACGTTGCGCACCGTTTTGAACTTGAACGTGCCCCTGGTGTGCCAATTTAGATTTAAGCTGTATAGGTTCCCAAACCATACTGTACTTAACTATGTGAAATATATGATACAAAGTTTCTTTTTTTTAAGATATCAAGAGCAAAATATCAAGGCAGGCATTATAAGGTATTCAGAGTCAATCAGACACATGCTTAGCTTTAACTAGTAACTTATACTTCATATACATTTACCTTTTCAAAAAATAGAAAGCATAATACAAACACAAATATATGATTCAATGATGCAAAGTTTATTTATTCATTTATTTTTAACATAGCAAGAGCAAGAGGCAGGCATTATGTATTCAGGGTCAATCAGACACATTTCTTAGTTTGATTTAACTGGTTGCTTATCTCCCACCAGGAGCTGGAGCTGGGGCCGGTGCAGGAGCAGGGGCCGGTGCTGGGGCTGGGGCTGGTGCGGGGGCCGGGGCCGGTGCAGGAGCAGGGGCAGATGCCAGCTGTGCTAAGATGAATGGCAAGAGGCTGAGGAGGGCATTGTTGTTTGGAAGCTGAGGTTGAGGCTGAGGCAGAGGCAGGTTAGGGGGGAAGTATGGGTAGGGATAAGGACGCTGAAATTGGTACGGGTTAAAGAAGCCTCCAGGTCGTCTCTGTAGGAATATCAGAAGAAAAGAGTAAGATGTACATTGAAAAAGAGTCATCACTCAACATATTTTCTAAATGAAGAAAGAAATATGTATATCAACATAATCAGAGGGTACTTTCTATGATTTCTTTACATAAATGTTTTTGCATGGCTCAGGATCATTTTTGCACTCGAGAAAATATGGAATAAATATGATCAGTTAATTAAAATGATTTTATGCAAGAGTTTTTGATTTCAAACTGACCTCTGAGGAATGGCTTGATGAGCGCTTCTCTCTATGTTCCTCATCCTCTGCCTGAAAAGAAATGAATTGGTCATTTCCAGTGTTATAGAATAATAAGTAATAAAAGAAGTTATAGTAATAAAAAAAGTTTGTGGGGGTTGAAACAAAATAGAAAATTGAATGCACATCAACACATATGAATTTGATCACAACGAGAGAATGATACTCACTAGCACGGCACAGCAGAGTCCAAAGACACAAGCAACAAGGAGGAAAGATTTCATGGTTCTCAAGAAGAGCTGCTCGGATCTAATAGAGAAATATTCATCATGTGTAAATCGCAGTGGATAAGAATGTCTCCTAAATGCCCAAATATAAATGTAAATGCCGTTGATTCCAAGATTTCTTCTTACCTTTATGGCAGATGTATGAGAGACTTCTCTGTTTCAGGTGTGACATCAAAACAGCAGTGATAAATGCTCTATATATATACATTATCGACATGCAACTGGCCAATCAGCAGAATAACATGTTTGAAAAATGTATTTCGTATTTAGCAAGTATTTAGCAAGTTGGACTTTACTCAACAATTGGGAAATATGGAAATTATTCACATAGTTGTCTCTTTTCTATGGTATATAATTGTAAACATACACTGAATTTATGCAACACATAAACAAAACAAAAGATTAAGGCACACCTAAGGCTGGATGTTACTGGGATTCTTTATTGAATTATAAATGTCTTTACGACATCTGTCAAGGTTTTCATAAATCTGGAATTGTATTTGGAATTTGTAGTATTATATACTTTTTCATCGAGTCATCAAAAAGCTGGTCTAAGTTCAGTTGAGGCAGGAAGGGAAAAAAAAACTTCCAATCTCCAAAGTAAGAGAAATAAGAACAGACAAAAGCAATTCAAATTACAACATGATAGTTTGTGCTACATTTTACATGATACGATTTAAATTTTCATAACATTTTATAATGTATTAAACCAACTGCAATTCATTGGACATATGTGAATCCAACAGTTCAACTTTGAATTATAGCCTATATGAGCTCTTTTAAAGCAAAAACAAAAACAAAAAAAAAACAGTTTATAAGTAATTAGTTATTTTGCTGATGCTTTTATCCAAATTGATCTTTACATTTGACTTAAAACTGACATTTGACATTTATTTATTTATTTAGTAAACTTAGTTCAGTTTTTACAGTAAATGGCTGGGTTAGGCGGTGTATTGGGTGTATTGGAGCTCATGTATTGGGGCTCAACACATTACTAAATCAACATTTCAAATCTAAATCAATATTACATAGCTATATCATTGAGATTGTGTTACTTACGAATAAATAAATCTTAAATACTTGACTGTTTCGCAGTGATATATTTTCTGTAAAGGAAAATGTCTTAGGGACAGAGAGATTATCAGAGATGAGCAAATCCTCTGAAGCAATGTACGTTTTTAAGATGTCACAATTGCATAAATTGACTGTAAGCTTTTGGGAATTTGTGGGATTTTAAGGATTACGACATGACTAAATATTGTAATATCCTTATGGATTAAGGTTTGTGTGCACAATGAGTAAAAAAAATGGTAAATGCATATGTGCTAAAACTCTGATGCATTAGCTGGAATGGGATAAATCTCAGTGTTTTCACATTTCTTTCAGGACAAGAAGAGTCAACGAATTGCATGACAGTAAGTACAATTGATAAATTTAAATATACTCTCTCTCTCTCTCTCTCTCTCTTTTTTTTTTTACTTTGAGTTAATGTTATCTTCATCAACTTTATTGAAGTATAGGGAAGACCGGGGCAAGTTGTCACGCTTGTTTTTAAGGTTGGTTTATTTTTTTTAAATCTGTACAAAATATTTTCTAGATTGAACAACAATAAGCTATAAACATTTTCAACAGTGGAAAAAATGAAGGAAAAATGAATTTAAGGAAAAAAAGTACAAATAACTAGCATATGTTGTAATAAGTTGTATGCATTTTTAACATTTAAAACATATTTGAGAACTCTTATAATATGGCACGCGACAACTTGCCCCGACCTTGACATGAAATTGGAAAAATACTTGTTTTCATTATATAGTTTACTGTTGTCTGAACATACTTCATATTTGTGTGGTTTTAAAGGGTTGTTTAAACTACAGATTTAGGAAAATATGATGTTGGAATTTGGAGATTGAAATATTTTTAAATAATTGAAAAAATCCTCTAAATTTATCACACATTTGAAACATCAAAGTTTTTGTGAGAAAAAAAAGGATTTTGTGACTGAACCTCCTCTCTTCTACTCATGAGTGACTCTATGTGGCTAACTATGGTTTTTGCATGTAGAATAAGTTGCACTCTTTACATTTTGTTTATTTATTTAGTATATTTACATTTATTACATATATCTGTCCTAGTTCGAATGCTTTCTCTATTTAATATCAGTTGTACTGAATTGCCATCATTACTGAGATAACTACGATTTCAGATCTGTTAGGAATTTCTCTTCTAAATAAGGTTAAAAAAAAAACGTGCCATCCCAAAATGAAGAGTCTCATATTATTGACTGTCCTGTGGCTCATTTCCTCTGGAGCTGTAAGTAAATTTTGTTTTTGAATGATGTTTTTACTCTCTTTATATCACATATTATTGTACTAGTTTGATGTAACTGAGTAGCCTGGCTCTTTTAAGCCTTTAAACCTGAATCAAACAACATTCAAGATAATGTATGAAATAACAATTATTATAATACCATCAACTCATGTGATATAAAAATTCCTCCCAGCTTTGCCAGCGTTTTAACCCTTGGAGCTCATCTGGCAGTGATGAGGTAAACTCCCAATGCTCCCAGTTATAACAAATATGTAATTTTCTCCTGAAGCTGAACAAAATGCCTCATATGCAAATGTTCTATGTGACTGTTTAAAATGTCTTTGCTCTAGAGGATCTATTGGCCCTATTTTCCTGGAGGTCATTATTATCATGTGAGGCCGGTTCGACCCGGACCTCTTTTCCCACTGTGGTCATTTCAGTGGCCCCTGCTGCTGCCTCGTCCAGCCCCTGCCCCGGCCCCTGCACCTGCACCTGCACCAGCACCAGCACCAGCACCCACACCCAGTCCCCCAGTCACCCCCACCACCATTCGTGGAGATGGTGGAAAGTAGAGCAGGGGTTGTTTTGTAAAGTACCCTTGACATCTCAGTAATGCTTTCAATAAAAATAGTGAATTTAACATGTTATTTGGTTGTTATTAAGAAATAATACAACTGTAAAATAAAACAATTTCCCCACACTTATTTAATTATACATTTAACATTAGTTGGTAAACCCTGCTGAGAAATTTGTGTTCTATGTGAAGTTGTCATCAAAATGCTCGAGCTTGAGTAGAAAATCCTCTCCAAGCCCCTCATAGCGGGGGGTAACCATGTACTTTAATATTAAATGGGCAAACAAACTCGTGAAGCACTCCTATAAAGAATACACTTATGATAATGGTCTTGTACGTCATATTTCAGATCATTGTAGTCAATCGAATTTAACTTGCTGCCCAAGCTCGGTGACCAAATGCTAATATTAAGCATATAGTCACTCAAAATAGTGAAGTGAAAAACATTTCCGAATGAACAGTCTGTCATTTCAGATTATAAATTGGTAGTGTTGTTTAATGTAAAGGTCAATGCACGAAACTCTGAGGTATTATGCACTACATAGGTGTGGTTCAAGTGTCAACAGAGAAAGATGTGGATATGTAATTTTGAGATTTTGAGATTGTTTTGGGTGGGACAGTATGACTCCTGAGTCACTACACACTTATTAAACATAGTCTATATTAAGAGGAAATGTCTTCAAATGTATCTTGATACCATGACAAGTATGTACGGTCTGTGCGCTGTCTTGCTTTAAAACGGTACCCAAAAATTAGCACAGTTTAATTTTTTTAAAGTCTTGTTGTTTGCATATCCAGTCAAGTTTAGGGAATTCCTGGTTTTATCGTTAAAACTGCTGTCTGTGTCTGCATTTCTATTTGGTCTGAACCCAACTTAATAATAACAGTTATCTCACCACAATGTGAAATTAGTGTAGTTCGTACTGTGGGAATGACAGAATTATACTGTCATTAACTGAACCAAAGTGGCTTTTCAGAAGGTAGCTGTGGTTTCACTTTAATCAACATTGTGAAGACGAAATCAGTGAGAAGCGACCTCAGATGAGACAAGTGTTTCTGGTGTGGGGGAACGCAACATCTCGATTTATTGAAATAAACCAGATGTCTTAATTATTCTGACACGCTATCCTGTTTCTACTCTAAAATGTGCTTGCTGTGAAAATAAATGTTTGGCATTCACTTACAGACTACCACAAACACACCTAGTTTTTATGATCATTTTTATATTTTATTCACTGACTTTTACTACTATAAAACTGAACCAATATATCAAATCACCCAAACTCGTCTGGATACGTCTAACATTTCAAATGGTTTGATTTGATTATTCATTCAGACACTAAGTGTTCTCTAGATTGTACAATTAAATTATGGTCTGAGGTTTAATATTGTCTGAGGTCAGAGCCCATTTCCAGAGCTGATTGGTTGCTTGATTGAATGGACAGTGTTTAAGTACACCCTTCTCCACTTGCATTTGTTCGTTGTGATCAAAGGATTTTAAAGTGAGTATTTGGCTTTTTTTCTGTCATGCAATATTAGCTATTAATGTATTTACTGTATGTGTGTGTATCTTTACTGTATGTGTGTGTATCTTTAGGTATGACACAAATGAGGCGTATAGCGTTGCTCCCATGTTTTCTAGCTGGAACATTTGGAGTTCCGGTGAGTCATTACAGTCATCTCTTTTCATCCAGATACCACTTGGGTTACATTTTTTTACGTTCCCCTTTAGACATTCTTTTCACCATAAATAACTTTTTACCTACATGCCATCTAACTCTCATTATAGGACCAGTTGAGTATTAGTAGACTGTTGGGGGTAGGGTTACGGTGTGTTCACACCGAACGCGAATTTAATTATTTGCGCGAGTAGATTACATAAAAAGTCAATGCAAAGACGCGAATAGACGCATCATTCGCCCCGGGCGTTGCGAATGACGCAAATTGGGCGACGCGTTTGCTGCGAATGTCTTCTGCGCAAGTTGAAAAATTTGAACTCGAGCGAATGTTTAAGCGTCTAACTAGACGCGTATTTGACGCTCTATTCGCGTTCGGTGTGAACACACCATTAGGGTTAGTAGAATAAGTTGACATGTAGGCCTACTTGCAAAGTTACTTATAGTCAGTAGATATTAAGCAGACAGTATACCAATACTCTAATGAGAGTTAGTTGACATGTACATGCAGTTTTATAGTCAACAGAATGTCTAAAGGGGACCATCAAAATAAAGAGTTACCGAAACGTGATTTCTTTAGAGATATTTCATGGTTGTATTGTAGAAATCATACATCATAAGTGTTGCTTGTTTACTTGATTATGTTATACTTATGTTATTCAATTAACCTTTTCATATATCTCCCCAAATGCTCCCCAAAAAGTCCCAACGGGAGATATGGCAGCACAAGGAACCCCAGTGATACAGTATTCCCTGTCTGAGGTACTGGTACAAGCCCATCATGTACCACAGCAGTTTCAGCCTAAATCTCCCAGAGTTCTCTCTGGTCCTGAGCAACAGCTGGTCACTCTGACCGATCCATGGGCCTCTCAACCCAACCCCAATGCAGGTCTCGGTCAACTTCCAGCACACTTTCAATACTTTCCCTATTCTCATCCCCAGCAACCGCAGGTAAGAAACTTTTATATGTTCACTTGAATAATGAATTGACTCATTTCTTATCTTAATAAGACAGCCCATGAATTAATTTTTGGTAACACTTTATTTCAATAGTCCACTTTAGACATTTGACTGTAAGTAACTTTGCAACTACATGTCAACTATCAGTCATTATTAGTAGTCTTCTTAATATCTGACAACACTTTATTTTGATGTTCCCCCAATAGACATTCTACCGACTATTAGTAACTTTGCAAGTAAATGTCTTATTCTACTTATTCTACTAACCCTAAACTTAACCCTAACCTAAAAGTCATCTAAAACTCTAATAATAGTTAGTTGACATGTAATTATTTGTAGTTAGCGGACTATTGAAATAAAGTGTAACCAACTTTTTAAATAAAATGATATAATTAATATTATTAAAATAATACCATTTAAAAACATTAAAAAGGTTTTTAGAATTTATTAAATTCTATAAATTCTAAAAATACATTTCTTAAAATACCTAACACATTTCCCCCCCTGTATTTTCCAGTTTTTATATTATCCCATTCTTGGACCACAATCCAGGAACCCAACAGTAAGAGTGTTTCCATAAAATATTAAAAATATGTGTGGGTTTTGTTTGTAGTCATCAAAAATACACCACAGGACAGCTAACAGACTGTCTGGGTTCAGCAGGTTTATTCTGATACGAGGTCCAAACCCAAACTTAATGTTAGCTATGTAACCCTCAAGCAAGCCTTTGTGTTTAGACTCTTTGGTATATTATCAAAAATATTTCGCTGGAGGAAATCTTCCCGTCTCCACGTCTGAAGAGTTTTGATTTATTGAGGAAACCTGATGCACTTGATGTGTCCAAACAAAGAGGGTTGATGTAATATATTGCCTCGTGTATCAGTAAAATGTGTGCACACAAATAAAATCTCTGTCAGAAGTTTGTCAGTTCTGCATCCAACAATCCTAAGAGGAGTCATTGAGTTCATTCACTCTTGATTGAATCTCATTTGTCCCAGAATCCACTTCTAACTATTGTCGTTTTGCTCACTTGTCAATCTCCTAAGTCAGAACTTTTACTAGATCTCAAATGCTCCTTTCCATCATCAGTTCTCCTATGGAGTGCCTGTTTTCCAGAACGCATCGTCTCAACAATATCCTGCTAATGCAGTTCCAGCTTCACGACTGGTAATGCTACAAAACAAACAACACAAGCCAAATGCTCATCAAATGCATCCAAACCAGCCTCAGCAAGAACAGGTATCAACGCAAACATTCTGGACTCAAGCAAATCCAGTGTTTTCAATATTCTTATATCATGTGTTTTTCCACAGGTTCAACAATTTCTTTACATGGTTCCACAGATTCAACAACGAATGGTGAATGAATCGGCATGAACTGTTATACAATTGAATATTTATTTTCTAAATATGTTATTGGGATGTAATTCCTTATGTGAATGTTTTTTAAAGGCTGGACCATATGGTGGATTGAGCTGCGAAGAACTTCAGGTAAAAAAAAGTCTGAGACCATTAGTGAAGATGCTTCTTTATTTTATTTTATTTTATTATTTTATTATTAATTTAATTTAATTTATTTTTTCTATTCTAATTTTTGTTATAAAACATATTATCATCATAAAAAATTGAGCAAGTATTTAGCCTGTTCCCATTTTTTGGGGATTCATATATGAATGTCACAAATTTGCTTATTTAATTGTGACCTAATAGTGCCAATTTTGATATTTTTCTTCTCTTAACTTCTATTCATATTTTCTAAATCTACAACATTAAGCTCAGAAATGTAAAAAAGATCAGACACTACTGTATCTTTGAAAAGTTTTTATTTATTTTTGTAAATAAATATTTTGCCTAAATCTCTGTCAAAATTTATGTTACACACAGAACATGGGACGAATGGGTCCTGTTGACATGCACATGCCTGCGTTTAGGGGCAATGTGTAGCAACCACAACCTGTTGTACCTGTTAACCCTTTAAGACCAGCCAATACCTTCCACATCAACACCTATGTCCCTGGAATGACCTTCTCGACCAATACTGAGGTCCAGCCACCTAGCGTTGTAGCTGTACCACCCAGTGGGGATGCCATACCTGCTACTGGTGGATCCCATCCAAATAATGGAGCGCTGCCTAGTAGGAATGCTAGCAAGCAGGACCGTGAGTGAGTGCCGTGTGATCATGTCCAATCTGCTGAAAACCCCTTAACCAACACTGGACCTTTGTCTTCTGGTCATGGGACTTTCATTTCGGCTGTCTTGCCCACTGTCCAAACCATTACAGTTCAACCATTACAGTGATCCCAATCTAGTTTCCATTACATCCCCAACACCAGAAGAAGCTCTTGTTCCAGTCCCCACCACTGCTTTCCTATACTGTTAAGACCAACCCTGATATGTACCCCAAGACAAATCTTTGCATATCTTTACTGCAAGATTTATTTAAATATGCATTTTGTATCATGCTTATGGTTTATATATGGGTTATGTAAGTTTTTAAAATATTTCTAAAACTGTACTTTGTTTACATGTTACTGTTTCTTTATCTTTTATTCTTCCCAGTATGAACTAAAGGTTTGACTTTGTTGTGGACTAAAATATTTAAAAATCAAAACCATTTCAAATTATTTCTGACTTTTGTACTGTGAACATTGTGTGTGGTCCTCAACATATATACTAGACATATGATTAAATACAGAGTTAATTACAGCCTGAGGCTCCTTCTGTGTTGCATACAGTATATCTGTCATCAAGTGTCAGCTGTGTTAATAGAACTGGAAAAATGTGCACATTTAACCCAGAGAATCACAATATGAGTGAATATTTTTTTCTATATAATTAAAGTGCAGAGCATTTGAAAGTTCTTAAAATGCCATAAAAAAAAACAGAATGGCTTACTGGTAAGGGACACATACAGAAAGGATCAGGGAAACAGTGTACTGTTATCTTGTTTAAAAAGAATGGGATTGAAGTAATTCATTGATTGTAAGTGATTCTTGAGCCAAGGACCGGTTTACTGATTAACTGGTCAGTACATGAAGGCACATTATTGAATGTATCCAAAAAAAATACAAAATATGACAAGATTAATGGCAATAAATTATTATATATATATTTTTTACTCTTATACAGTACCTGAAAATTAACATAACAAAAACATTAGTGGGATATATATATTCTTTTAATCTTTTCAGATAATTTCATAGCCAATTGTTTTTTAACCTTTACATGAAAGTCAACAGTCAAATTATTGACTTTCACTGCAGTTTCCCAATGTAATATGAAATGTAAATATAGGTATATAGTTCTTTCCACACTTTATTTTCTAGCAGTGTCCTCAGTCAGGCAGAAGGTTCTTACAGTTTGAACAAGTGTGAACATTGCTGTCAGAGAGCTATTATTATTTCATCACATGTGCCATAAATGTATTTTCTGATTGCGTTTGATTTATTTGTATATCATGCCAAATAATTACAATCTCAGCCAAAATGTTGCTTTGAGATAAGCAAAGATATATATTTGCTTTGAATGCACATTTTTGCCCTCTATAAAGGAACTTGGCTGGTCACCAAAGCCAATCATATGCTGATGTTATGGGCCTTTTGTTTTCAAAGAGAATATAAGGAGTAGATCCAGAGAGCAGTATATCACAAAATCCTCTTCCTTAATCCTGATCACAATCAAGAGTCTTAAATGAAGGTAAGGTACCATTCATTCATTCAACAAACAATTTTGGGGCTGAAGGTTGATCTACTTTCCTGTTGCAGAAGGTTACATAGAAGATAGCAAACAATGAAACTATATCTTTGCATGTCATATTTCAGACATCATCATTCAACATGAGATCCCTCATTTTGCTGGCATTTGTCATCGGTGTGGCCTACTGCGCTCCGGTACGTGATCGATGTTACTCTTATGTATTTATTCATGAGCCAACTATGACAAGAGAATGTGGGATGCTAACATTGTGATACTACTCTCCTGTTCTTTGACCCACAGCAATTTATGTATTATGAGCTAGAATACAAACCTGTCATGGCTCCACAGGTTAGTTTGGTCCAAACATGAAATGAATACTTAAGGTTGAATTCAGGTTGATTGGGACACTTTTGCCATTGAAATGACTGGGGAAAAGTGTCCCAATCAATCTGGATTCACCCCTATTTATTTACATAAATGACAGCCTCAATAAAACGACTCAAGGAATATGGGAATATAAAGTTTCATATAAGATTATAGCACATTATGTATTTTATAAAAAGTGTGTATGATGATCTATAGGCTCTTCCTGCGGCCGCCGCTGCAGCTAGACCTTCTGAAATAGAGATTGTAAGTGTGGAGTGGAGTGAAACATTACTATTACCATCATATTACTCAGACATATATTACATTTTATATTATAGTAATATTTTAGATGTACATTTTTATATATAAATATAAAATGTAACATTAAAAATCGAATTATTATATTATATTATAATTCTTTTTTTCAGCTTCTGGCAGCTCAACAGCCTGCAGCTGGAGGTTCTGTAAGTTCGGTTTAATTTCTTTTCGCAGAGTATTCCTTATCTTCTGCTAGTTGAGCATGCGATCAGTTTTTCTTATTCTTCACAGGGTCAACCTATCCGTGGCTTCATTAAACATGAGATTCCCCAGCCCGCAGGCAAAGAAAGTATTGAAGTTGTACGTGTTTCTGCATTTTTTTATTTCCCTACTGCTAAATGAAATCCTCCATTTCTCGTCAACCATGTCGAAGTTCATTCATTTCCCTCTGTTTTCTAGCTGTACCCCTTCGGCTTTCCTCAACCTGCCCCTGCTGCCCCAGCTGCCCCGGCTGCACCGGCTGCCCCAGTACAGTCCAACCTAAAAAATTGTGATATATTTAATACTATCACATATATGCATATATAATTTGTTGTACTTTTTTAGGCTCCTGTTCCAAAGGATGATGATGATGATCATGATGACTAAACCAGGTTGGTTAAGTAATAATTATAATCTTATGAATAAACGAATTATTAATATTTAATAAGATATTATTAAATATCCTGCCACAGAATGTGGTGGGACGTTTGAGAGGGAAAGTAACCTCTACGATATAGCTGACTACGCCACCCTGTTAACCAGGGAAATATAAATACTCATGAATTTAACCACCTATAAAGAACACACAGGAGCGTGGTTTCCGAAAGGATGGCCTGAGACGTGGATACCAAAAATACAAAAGCTTTATTTCAATCATCAAGCAATAACATTAAAAGACTGTAGGAGCAGGTTAACACAAACAAACGTTGAAGACGATTATAATTAATAAATCAATATATCAATCATAACGCTGCAATGCCACAAATTTAACAGTTTTTGCATTGGAATATGCAACATTGTACACTGACATTTTAAATAGAGAAAAACTCCATCTGGTACACATAATATTATTCTTATTTAATTATTACAATAGATCACAGAAGAGAAGTCTTTCTGTACAATGCAACACATTTCTAAAGCCTCCGTCTTTTCTTTTTCTCACAGATGAAAGGATAAGCTGACCACCAATTCCTGAACGACAAAGAAGCTGCTTGTGTTATGCAGAGTGACTGCATAAACGCTTTCCTGCTTGAGAAATAATGATGACCCATCAAATGGTGCTTTTTCAGTGGCTTGATGCTTTAGAGCCTTAAAATCATGTTTTTTTTTGTTTTTTTTGCAAACATGTTTTTAAATCTTGATTTACAATAAAGCGTACAATCAATACTTTGTCTCCTCATTTTTGTTGAAAAGCTTTTTTATAATGGTTTATTCATAGAAATACATAATTCCTAGTTTGGCTGGAAATAAATATCATCCCAAGAAAGCCCTTCAGAACCTGACATTGTTGTTCAGACAGTTCTCTTGCTGCAATTAAAAAATCACAAAGTTTGTACACAAAAAAACAAACTCAGTTCCTATTTTTGATATTTTGTTTCGAAAATATAGGCTGGTGATATCAGCAGTTTCCTCAATTGTTATCATTATAATAATAGCTGACAGAAAGGCAGACAAAGTCTGACTACAGGTCATTTTCTCAATAACCATCTTTCTCCATATGTGAGGTCATGATAAAGTCTAGCCTGAGAGGGATTGGTTAAGAGCTAAGCCAGAGAGCAAATAAAAGCAAGCAAACTCATGTCCCAGAGGTATAACTCTACCTGCAACCAAGGTGAGAAAGCTGGTTGACCATTTTCGTACACTGTAAGTGCTTCTCTTTCTATGTTATTGCCCTCATTGGTGTTGTCTGTCTTAGGCTGGTGATTCCTTAAACATGTGGACATCTATCCTGTGTCTTCTTCTGGCGGGTGCAGTATCCGCAGCACCAGTAAGTACACATCAAATCTTTTTAAAGGAATGTCTTTGTACTTATTACGGCTTGTTTTATGCATTTTATGTGTCACCCAGATGCTGAAACTGATCCTTTTTTTGTGCTTGTGTGTTTATATCTCTCTAGCTTTCACCGTTTTTCAATTATCTCCCTCATTATGGCAGCCCGAGACAGGTGGGGCTAACCACACATGCACATTCCTGACTTTTACGTATCTAAAAATGGCATAAAAGTCTTTGGAATCTCTTGCTTTAACCATAATTAACACATTGCACCCAGTTTTATGATGAAAATAGCTCTGTAATATTACAGTGTATGATGACATGCTACTCCATGACATGTGTTTATATATGTTTAACTGACTATCCTGAGGTTGCTGCAGAACAAGTTTTGAACATAATTATAACGGAACTAAACATGTTGTTTTTTTTGGGCATCCACTAAAGAAAATTTGAACTCCTTTAATTTTCTTAGGGGAATAATGGTGGCTTCCAGGGAATACCATCACAACCTGGTCTGAACGCTCCAATCAGCATGGAAATCGTATGAGCTTTTTATGTTTTGTTTGTAAACATCATAAATATAACATTCAAAGTTGTAGGCTACCAAGAAACCATGTAAAAATTTTTGCTTTTGGTGTAAGGATTTATTTCTGCCTGATCTAAAAAATTACTTTTATTAGGTTAGTGTACCTGACTTAACCCTTAAAAAGGACTTTCATTAGGTTAGAGTAACCTAATGCACTGAAGAAAAAAAAACGGATTTAATTTGAGACAATTTTCACTGAGAAAACGCTATGACATTTGACAAATACATTTAACTTAATTTAATTTAATTTCTAGACCAAGACACATGACGCAAATTTTAGATTACCTGAAAATGTGTATGTGGTCTAACCCTTAACAATCGCTTTTATTAGGTTAGTCTGTGTATTAACTGTAAACAAAAAAGTTGCTGCATGCCTTCAATTTTTACGTTAATTTTTAAAGTTTATTAACTTAAATTACAGCAAACTGATTCAAGAAATGAGTTGAATCTTGTATAACTTATAAAAATTAGAAAATTGCTTAGCTTATTTTGACGAGTTGAAGCAATGTAAAAACACATGTTGTCATAACTTATTGATCAAGTGGCATACTTTTTTACAGTGTTCAGTTTTGCAGTTTTATTCAGTCAAATTAAATCATTTTCACATTTCTGTTTTAAGATAGTAGCCTACACGAAGCACGTTTTAGATTACATGAAAAATAAAAATGTGTATGTCGTGAATTACATTTTAAAAGTTTTTTTTATTTTATTTTTTATTAAATAGATTTTCCCACCGAGATTCCCTACTAATCCAGCAGGGGGCGCAGCGGGCACATCGGTGAGTAAAGGTTTGCTATCTGCAAGGCTAGCTTGTTTTCTCAACATATCAGCTACACAGCTTCTTTATTAGGTGCCTTTTTGAGATGTAAACTCTCAGCTCAATTAGTTGAATCAATGTATTCCTCATGTGTGTATACCAAAAAGACTAGAACATACTACCATTCACGCGCTCTCTCTTTCTGCCTTCAGTCATTCCCTACACAAGCGTTCATCAAGTACTCTCTCCCCAAGGCTCCCGGCAGAAAAAGCGTGGAAATCGTGAGTGAACAGACCCGAAGGCTAATTTCAGCACTTGTTCTGCAGACTTTACTAGAAATCTTTACATATATGCTGTAGAAAGTCAATCCAGCAGAGTGTTGCTTTCATAGCTTCTTCTAATGCCTCAACATTGCTCATCCTCTCTGATGCAATGAACTCAATGGTGATTTTGTGTTTCTTTCTCCTTATTGAAGTTTTACCCCTATGACTTCAGTCAGCGCCAGGTAGGATTTACTTTGAAACTAGTACATTTCTCAAATAATTACAAATAAGCGGCAAGCAACATATTGAATTAGCCTAAATGTGAAATTTTGAAGTTGAAATGGATTATATCTGTTGTTTTCTCATCCCATAAATAGCTGAGCCTTACACCTTTTACTTATTTCTGGGAGTAGGCCTACTAGTTGTTTACATAATTGAATCGTTTTCCTGTTTATCTCTGAAAAGCTGCTTTGAAACAATCTGTATTGCGCTATATAAATAAAGATGACTTGTTGTTTACATTTCAGGATCAACCAAATGTTCCCATGATACCTCAATTTCCAAATGTAAATTCTTTAAATTGCTTTAACATTTTGATATATATATATAACAAACTATTTTACTAAAATATTGTAATTTATTTGTATATGTTTGTCAATAGATCTTCCCCTTTGACTTCATGCCACAGACAGTTCCTCAACAGCCACCCATGGTGAGAAAAAAATGCGTTGAACCTCCTTGGTTTCATAATTACTCAATACAATCATCACTTGCACTGTTATTAGAATTTGCTGAAACGCCTGAATCTTGAAACACTGTGAGCTTTTATTGCATTTCTACACAGAACCCACCATTCCAGGATGGTCCTCCACAAACCCAAGATCCTCAGCAGCAAACCCAGCCGGAGCAGCAGGCTCAGACAGGACAGGTGTGTGTGTGTGTGTGTGTTTAAATGCATATGTGTGAGAAGCAAAAATCTCAACCCTCAGTTAAGCTCTGATTTGACAACATAATTACTCCTTCAGTGGTGTATTTAGCCAGTATGCTTTTAACCAAAATGAGAACTTGCGAATCTCGTATATATGTCAGCAGCAGTTTTGCTGAAAAAAGCAGATTATGTGCACCACACTCTTGTTAATTATCTATACCTTCTTTCAGGTGTCTAACAAGCCATGAAGACCGGTGAGATACTGCTTATGTGTATCTGAATATGATTCATTCGTCCTAATTTTGAATTGCAATAGTTTTAATAATGTTTCAACATTGCTTGACATCACTCTTTCATTCTTGTTTATCATATTATTTCTTATGCCTACAGGCTCATCTTTGCAGCTGAGTGAGAGACAAACATCAAACAACAAGTGTGAACCCCCCAATGCTATTTAGAATTAGTAAATACTTTTTTCCTGGGATAATAATTTAAAACGAGCTGATTTTTTGAACACGAAGAAGATGATCTACACATATAAGAATTTTTTTTTAAAGATCTGTTTGGGTCTTATTCTGATGTGAGAAAATTATACCTTAAAGCAAATGTCAGTTCTGAATATTTTCTCATGTATACTTTTGTGAGTAGTGTTTCATTAATAAAGTTGATTAAAGAACAATTAATTTTTTGTCTTTGTGGTAGTTGTTACAAAACACATTTGTAATGCATACTAGTAATTAAAATAATACAAAACATGTTTTTGCTTAAACATTAAAAAGGATTCTGAGGTTAAAGTGAAATATTTTGCACCTACACCTTGAACATTATGCAGTATAATAAACATATTGCATGTTAAAAAATATTGGAGCGCAAAAGTTTTCCAGGTTCAACCTCAAGGAAGCTATAGGATGTTTGAATATCAAATAAGAGAATTATTTATAATGCTCATTGAAACTAAATTCAGAGAAATTCAAGAATACATTTTCCCCCATGGATTGTCTGGCCATAAGGAATTCGAATAGTCTCCTACATGCAGACATTAACACATGCACTAGGCCTGCAGTATGTTAGCAATTAATTTGCTCTGAGATATGTTGGCACATTGGACATCAACATTTAATACGATTTTGGATTGAGTTTATCTGCTCATTATCATAACAGGGTTTAATTAGCTCTGCGATTCTAATTCAGCTCTAATTATATATATAGGCCTATATTATACACTGCCTGATCAAAAAAAGAAAAAAAAAAGTCGCTGTTTGGATTTAAATAAGCAAATGCTTAAAAGTCAATGATTGGATCGTTATTGCAGTAATTATCATAGCATGTTTTATGTTTGGCAACAGTTCTTCTAACCCTAACTGATGGAGTGTGTAGATGTTCATATCTTAACCATGTCGGAAAACACATCATGGCCACATTCTAGGATGACAATGTCAAGATTCATCAGGCTCAAATTGTGAAAGAATGGTTGGGAGGGAGCTTGAAGAATAATTTTCACACACAATTGGCACCTGCAGCTGTGGAACTTTTTGTGTTGGCGCATGCACACATTTTTTTAATCAAAATAAAATAAAAGTCAGAGTCCAAATGTTTGTCATTGTATAACACAACAAATAATTTTATTAGGCTACATCTGATCGTCAAACCAACGTATAGCCTACTCACAATGATTACAGCATCGGCATCAATTACAGGCCTGAATTGACAACAAAGCGGTCAGTGATCTCTCTCTCTTATATTCTTCTATAAACATATAGTGGCTATAAACATTTTGATTAAATTACTGTTAAAGGATAACAGGATATTTACCAGATAGCCTATGTGCCAAATGTCTGTCAATTTCCGCGCTCCTCCTAACTCTTCTTCTGTTTGTTTTTTCCTAACTCACTGACGATGCACAAGCTACTAAAGGGATAGGAAAACATGACATGGATTTCAGGAGAAATAGGTTTTGCTAAATGTATAGTGTAAGACAAGTCGAATGGATTTGGGAAATGGACCGGCCGGGATTTTATATTTTCGGAGCTGGGAAGAAAGACGTAGGCTATTTGCAATCACATGGCCCTGCCCGCATAATCATACAAGCCGCGTTTCCATTACCCTTCAAATTGCGCAAATTGAAATTGCGTAATAAAAATGCGGAAACACGTCCATTTCGCAAAAACTCCCGTTTATCCCAATAAAGTTTTTACGCTCGCATGAGGAGGTTTTTCAGGCAATTTGAAAAAGGAATATTTCGCAAAACTGCAATGGAAACGGGTTTTGCGCATTTACAGTCTGACTTAGAATACGCGGTGTGTTTTGAGTCCTTGTTCGCAAATAATAATAATAATTATCATCATTATTATAACATTTATTATAGAAGACGCTTTTATCCAAAAAAGGAACAAAGCAATTCGTCACATTTCATTCATAATACAGGTTGGACAATAATAATAGGGCTAAGATTATCATCACAAATAAACACAAGATTTTGACGCATATCCAAGTGTGTGTGCGGACTGGGTGTGGAGCGCGCACTGGATGGCACGGAGGCGCGGCCGCGAACACTTGCATTTTCCTATCAACAGTCGAAACAACTTAAAATACTTTATCATTTCTGGTCATACAGAATATAATAATACATTATTCGCAACTACTTTTATTTGCGTAATCTCACAATAACAAGAAAACGATGTGCTTTTGTAAAATAAAATAAAACAATCAGGCGCGCTTCATGGTCTCCGTGAACTGAAGCGCGAGAACTGATAGGCTATATAGCCTTTGTAGACTGAAGCTTTAAATGTCCACTTTAAAAGGAACAAATTCGAATCGAAAGCTAATACCTTCTGATTATGTAATCCGTATGAAAGGTGCATTTCTCTCTAAAGGTGCATCCGGAGATGGAGATATGTTTTTAACCGACACTGATTTAGGAAAACAATAGTTTATTAATAAACAATTAAAATGCCTCGTTATTTTTTCAGACACATTTATTATAGCCTAACTCACCATACATCCCCTTTCTGTAGGCTGTGGTTATGGCTCCTCTCATTGAGCACTGCGGGAAAAATATAATTTCCATGTTCTAATTTGGCCTTAGAAAACCAGTAAAATCTACATTTTTTTTCTCCATATTAATTTGTGAATATTTTAAATGTTTAATAAAGGGGCAAAAAGTCATAAACAAATATCTGAAAATTCGTCTATATTCTATAGTCTATAGTCTATATTCTCTTGCCCTTCGTTGAATATTGGGGGGGACGTGTCCCCCTGTCCCCCCATAGAATTACGCCTATGCTGTAAAGTCTCCTCCAGCACATCCCAAATACTTTTTTCAAATGTGAAGCAACAGCCAAATTGCTGCGTATGATATTTGCTTATTCTCAGCTCTGCAAGTATCTTACTCTTTAAGTAACACACACACACACACACACACACACACACACACACACACACACACACACACACACACACACACACACACACACACACACACACACACACACACACACATATATATAAAATGCAAAAGCTAATATATAAGAAATGGTATAATGGTATAAATTAATGTATTTTGGTTGATTCAATCATAATATTTTTGGTTAATCATATATTTTTTTCCAGTGGAGTGGTTTTATTTTGCGATAATATACTTTATCCTGAATATTAAGGCTATTAAGTAAATGGACAGGAAATACTAGATTATTATGCGGCAAATAATGAATTATAATTTACAATTATGTATATATACACTCACCGTCCACTTTATTAGGTACACCTGTCCAACTGCTCGTTAACACTTAATTTCTAAGCAGCCAATCACATGGCGGCAACTCAGTGCATTTAGGCATGTAGACATGGTCAAGACAATCTCCTGCAGTTCAAACCGAGCATCAGTATGGGGAAGAAAGTTGATTTGAGTGACTTTGAACGTGGCATGATTGTTGGTGCCAGAAGGGCTGGTCTGAGTATTTCAGAAACTGCTAATCTACTGGGATTTTCACGCACAACCATCTCTAGGGTTTACAGAGAATGGTCCGAAAAAGAAAAAACATCCAGTGAGCGGCAGTTCTGTGGGCGGAAATGCCTTGTTGATGCCAGAGGTCAGAGGAGAATGGCCAGACTGGTTCGAGCTGATAGAAGGGCAACAGTGACTGAAATAACCACTCGTTACAACCGAGGTATGCAGCAAAGCATTTGTGAAGCCACAACACGCACAACCTTGAGGCGGATGGGCTACAACAGCAGAAGACTCCACCGGGTACCACTCATCTCCACTACAAATAGGAAAAAGAGGCTACAATTTGCAAGAGCTCACCAAAATTGAACAGTTGAAGACTGGAAAAATGTTGCCTGGTCTGATGAGTCTCGATTTCTGTTGAGACATTCAGATGTTAGAGTCAGAATTTGGCGTAAACAGAATGAGAACATGGAACCATCATGCCTTGTTACCACTGTGCAGTCTGGTGGTGGTGGTGTAATGGTGTGGGGGATGTTTTCCTGGCACACTTTAGGCCCCTTAGTGCCAATTGGGCATCGTTTAAATGCCACGGCCTACCTGAGCATTGTTTCTGACCATGTCCATCCCTTTATGGCCACCATGTACCCATCCTCTGATGGCTACTTCCACCATGTCACAAAGCTCTAATCATTTCAAATTGGTTTCTTGAACATGACAATGAGTTCACTGTACTAAAATGGCCTCCACAGTCACCAGATCTCAACCCAATAGAGCATCTTTGGGATGTGGTGGAACGGGAGATTCGCATCATGGATGTGCAGCCGACAAATCTGCGGCAACTGTGTGATGCCATCATGTCAATATGGACCAAACTCCCTGAGGAATGCTTCCAGCACCTTGTTGAATCTATGCCACGAAGAATTGAGGCAGTTCTGAAGGCAAAAGGGGGTCCAACCCGTTACTAGCATGTGGTACCTAATAAAGTGGCCGGTGAGTGTATATACAAATTACATACCTTTTCCACAGAATACTGGATGACAAGATAACCTGAATCTGAATTTAAAAATAATTAAAAAAATGTTTTGTTTTTTATTATTTAAAAAAGAATGACCTTAAAGTTTGTGAACTAATAACAGGTTGAAAAAATGCAAAACTAAGGTCAACTACGGTATATAAATACAGTGTGTATATATATATATATATATATATATATATATATATAGTTCAAGCCTGTAATTCATATAGTTTGTTTGTGTGTGTGTGTGTATGTGTGTATTCATTGTATATACAGTAGCCTATACACACACACACACACACACACAAACAAACTATGAATTACAGGCTTGAACGGCTTTTGAACAATCAGAAAGATAGTCACCAGTTGACCCTAAGGAAATATCTAGAATGACTGAAGGGGAGCCAGAGTATATGTAGTCTCTTGCCTGATCTGTTAGAGTTCAGCAAGTGGATATCTTAAAACCTTTTATGTTCACATTCTTGAAATGGAAGACATCCTTGACATCAGATAAGACATCCTGGATCTGGATTCCCTAAAGCATAAAGCATAGGCCTATCAACCCTTGAAATGCTTCAAAGGAAAGAAAAAAAAAACGCAGACGGCAACATCTCTATAGAAGTTGTCAGTGTGGTCACAACAATGAGGAGCTAAAAGATTTATACCTATATATCTCCAAAAATGAATCAGCAAGAAAAGATTGGTTAAGTCTGTAATTAAGAGTTTAGAAGATTTTTTGTTTGTGAAGATCTGTTGTAATCAGATCAATCGAGTTGGCAGGCTCCCACAAGTCCCACTGCCGTGCGAAAGGGGCCCATTGAAAGTCACATGCAAACTTCACCATCAAACACCACAGACAGACCCTCCTCCTGTCTGGTAGACTATTTCATTTTTTGTCTGTCTTTTTGAAGAACTGTGCACCAAGCAGAATTTCACAGTGTATAATTATACATAATGGGTCATTAACAGTTGTAATTCCAACCTTGCTTTAAGAATAAAGGCAAAAAATAGATTTCATTTTTGCTGAGAGGTGATTGGTCTGTTTCAGGAGCAGCTAAGTATATATAGCAGCCTTGTACAGTACTTATTCATTCAACTTTAAACTTCAAGAAACCAAGCAGTCGTCCTTGTGAAAAGAGGTAAGCTCGTACCATTTCTGCGGAGTTTTAACTCATGCATATGTTACCGGCAGTATTGAATGTGTCTATTTTTCTCTCTGCGTCATAAGCTGTGAAATAATCATGATCATGAAAGCTGTGGCGTTGTTGATGTGTTTGCTGGGCTCCTCGCTAGCTGCACCTGTAAGTTCTTGTTTCTACATCTTGTTTCACATTCAAGGCAGCATAACAAAGTCAAAATTTCAAACATTTTTGATATCTTCCTCTTGCTTTGCATATTTTAGGCCCCTGACAGCGGCAGCAATGAGGTAAGACTTTTGTGTGTGATCACAATGGGTGTAATGTATTGCATTATGCATACTGTGTTTTCTCTATTGCAGCAGGCAGTTGGTCATGCTAACACAGCTCTCCAGTTGATGGAACTCTACAGAATGTTAGGACAGATGCGGCAACAGGTCAGTTCAATGCTGACAGCACTAAAGACAGAGGCATTTCATAATATTAACATAATGTGATCAATGCATTTGCAGGGTTTTGGTGCCGTTCCTACTGATGCTCAGCTGCCTGTATGTTAAGCATTTAATCACTTCATTTAAAGACTACTGTGTGAACCTGTTTTATGGATTTGATGGTATTTTCTGTTCCTCACAGGCAGCACCTGTGGCACCCGCAGCACCAGCGCCTGTTGATGTAAACCCCTTTCATTCTATCATATCGCATGTAATGTTTTTGAGAATAAACAATAGCCTTTTGAAAACATTTTTGCCAATATTTCTCTTTTTACAGACCCAGCCTCAGGTTTCACCTCAAGCACCACAGCAGGTTAGCAATGTGCTATTGTTATGATGTGTCAATGTCAGTCATGGCATTTCATAAGATGATGTTGAGGATAAATGTAAAGAAAAATCATGTTAGATAACTGACACATCTGTTGTGTATCAAGGCCTTGCTAGTTCACACATTTGTGTTTACTTTTTTACATTAAAGATAACTAGAACATGGAAAGAGACAGCTTCTGTTTATGATGTAAAGTAGCATTTTAGAGTGCAACATACACCATACATTGCTGACTAGTTTTATTTAATGATAAATAACCAACTGGCACTTGTGCTTTTAGCTTGGCTTTTTGCAACTAATCCTATAGCAAAAACTACAGAGTGGTTATAGACTTCTTTATTGACATTGATGGTTCCATGAAGAACCTTCAACGTCCATTGAACCTTTCCATTGCACAAAAGGTTCTTTATATTGAAAAAAGGTTCATCAGATTATTAAAACATTGAATGACACTAAGAAAAAAATTGTGGAATTGGTAATGTTCACTCTTAAAAATAAAGGTTCTTTATTGGCATCCGTGGTTCTATGGAACCTTCACATTGCACTAAAGGTTCTATAAATTATTAAGTTCTTCACATAAAACCTGTTATTTTAAGAACTGTTCTTTGGGGAACCCAAAATGGTTCTTCAATGGCATCGCTGCAAAAAAAACCCAAAAACCTTTTTTTAAAGGACTTTTAAAGACCTACAGTGCGGTACATTACACAAGCCTTGTGACTGAGCTATAGTTTGCGTTGACGTTGATCTTTGAACATTTCTTTCAGGGCTTTTTTTTCAACCCCGCTCTTTTCGCACCCCCAGGAGATGGGTCAGATGAGGAAGGAGCAGTAGGTTTCCTCTTATCAAAACGGTATCACACATTTCAAACATTAATAGGGTGTACTTTACGAGCTGCGTCCCTTTTTTAATCTACCCTAGCCACAGTATCGTGGGTTTTACCCTCCCTACGGCTACCAGCCTGCCCAGCCGGCTGCTCCATTGAACTCAGATGAGGCCGAAGGAGCGGAAGAAGCAGAGGCAGCGGAGGGTGCTGAGGCAGCCGAGGCCGGAGCCGAACCTGAACCTGCTGGAACCGCTTCACCTGTCGATGCCACTGTCGCAAACGAGATCCTACCCATTGATATCGCTGTGGATGTTCCCGTCGAACCTGCTCCCGAAGTCATCGCTGCTGCCGTTGATCCGGCTCTCATCCCCGAGGCACCGGCAGTTGCTGTGGAAATTGACACCACTTTGGTTGGGCCTGATGTTGCTGCTGGTGCAGGGCAGATGTTGGTGGCTGAGGCTCCTGATGCAGCCCAGCCAGTGCAGTGAGAGAGATGATCACAAGCCCTGCCCCCCCCCGCAAGATTCTAACCAATCAGTCACATCGCTGACTTTAAGACCACATCTCTGTGGTGTGAACATTGCCGGAACAAAAATGTGGCACATTCCTGTTGTGTGAAAATGTTTCCTGGCAGATTTATAATAACCTCATTGTAAGAATTGAGCCGACACTGCTGCAGACAGCGTTACTTGTTATATGTCTTCTCTTTCAGTTTCTTAAAATAAAATGTATTTTGTGTACTGCAATTAAAAACCTTTTTAATCAACTGAAATGTAACTATCTAATTAACCTGATATCTATACATCTATAACAGATGACTATATACAGTCAAACCAAAAATTATTCAGACACCAGATTTTATTTTTGATATTTTTTAACTAGTGGGTGCAGGACACTATAGTTAATTTATGTAAGTGAGGATAGCAAAATAAAGTAAACTCTGACATATTATACCCAAAAATTCTTCATACAGTGGACTACAAGTAAAATGTATAAAATTACTAATGCAACCTTTTTACACCACAGGCTGAACAAAATTAAGCATTGCTTGGTAATTAGTTGACCTAAATTGGTATTATCTAATTGTGTAATTGACATCTATTTGAGTTAATTCATTTTGTGAGACAGTCTAACAGAACGATGGCCAAAACCAGTGAAATATCAACTGATTTGATAACTCTTGAGGTCTTGTCATATTTTATTACCATTTTCTAAACTATAGCGAATAAACTGTGATAATGTGAGAAATGTTGAAGGTGTCTAAATACATTTTGGTTTGACTGTATGTGTGTGTGTGTAACTATATCTGTATCATTATATATACAGTTATATAATGGTGATGGTAATGGCGCAGGACATGCCTTTGGTGTGAGAGACCCGGGTTTGAATCCACTGCGAGACACCAATGTGTCCCTGAGCAAGACACTTAACCCCTAGTTGCTCCAGAGGCGTGCGACCTCTGACATATATAGCAATTGTAAGTCGCTTTGGATAAAAGCGTCAGCTAAATGAATAAATGTAAATGTAAATGTACAGTACATACAATATAAAATAATATCCAACAAAAACTACATATATCCAACAAAACAGGCCATCTATTTCTCTGTGAGTGGCTGTGTGTGAAACTAAGACTGGGACGTTTGTATTAATAGGATAAAGCAGATCTGTGGAAGACTGCTGACTGGGCAGATGTTGCTACAAGAGGTAAATCTCTCACTCTACTCTACAGGATCACAGTCTAGCAAGCACAAAATGACACCAGTATAATAGACAGCAAAAGTAAAAGTAAATTACAGTTAGTTAAATAAACACCACTAACAAATGTGGTCATTCACATATGCCTTACTAGGTGCACTCTGATGAATCAATTTAAACATGAACCTAAACATTTGTTTTGAATATGGAACAATTAAAAAAAATGGCAGGTTGCCAAAATTCTCAGTGTAATGGTGTAAATGATGGATCTCGCTCATACTTCCAGCTTTTGTTGGAGGGAGTATAAATCATGTACCGTTCAAGAAGACAGGGAGGAGGCTTTGTTTTTGTCACTCTAGTCTCTCATTAATCTCCAAATCCTTCTCAGGGTCATGCAAGTCTGAGATATCATTACATAGCACAACAGAACAAATGAACCACACGCTTGTTCCTCCTTTGAAAAAAACACGAGCTATAAATCTTTAATTTCACCGGACAGAAGGTCTGCGGTTCTGACAGGCTCGGTGATTCTTCTGATCAAGAGAGAATGGGACAGGATTTAGGTTAAAGAAAAACAGCCGGTGAGTTTGATATGACTTTGTGGCAATTTTCTCCCTCTTAGAGTATTATTTTGTCTATGTCAGATTTTTTCATGACTTTTAACAAATAGAAAGACATGTAAATTGTAAATCAATGCTTCAGCCTATTGCTCTAGGGGGAAAGGATCATGACTATTGTACCTACATCAGGGGGGTTTGCAGTCCCTCCCCGAGTGTCTCCGATAATGGAGGTGGACACAGAGGAGGACGACGAAGACACAATTCCAGCTCCAAGTGCAGGACGTTTATTTAACATCAACAACAGCAACAACAATGAGGAGTAATCAAAGATCATTAGATCAATAATTTAATACTGTATAATATAATATAATGTAATTTTATATGAATGTGTATTCGTGGTAATAGTGTACTTTGCTCTCCATATAGGGAAGCCAAGAAGAAGAAGAAAAAGGAGAAAAAAGAAAAGAAGGAGAAAAAAGAGTGAGTAGCACACTAATCTTATGTTTGACATATTCTGGTTATAAATAACGTTTGTTACCGTATAAACCTTTCTGTTTTTCTGTAGCAAAAAAGAAAAGAAAGAGAGAAAAGAGAAGAAAGAAAAGGAAGAAAAAGAAAAAGAAAATGAGAAAGAAAAAGAAAAGGCAAAAGAAAAGGAGAAAGAAAAAGAGGAGGGGTTGGTATCTGGATTTTTTATCAGTCATTTCTAATCTGCGATTTACAAAAGGTTAAAGTATCACCATTGATTATTGCTCATGTCAACTTCATTTTTTTCAAGGCCCAAGGAGGTGTTTGTGATTAACCCAGCGGGATTCCTGTATTATCAATGGCTGCTTATAATCACAGTTCCTGTCATGTACAACTGGACAGTTATAATTGCAAGGTAATAATTAGAAGTGCATGTTTTATTAAGACCAGGAGATGAGAGAAGAATACAAAATTGAAGACGTTCCCTTTTTTAACCTCTGAAGTGTGCTTCCTTACATCTCCATTAGTCTCTTACACTCATATGCTCTAGATATGATAATGGTCATATATTCAGCATCGAAATCCAACATAATACATCAAATTGGAGCATTTTGTAAGCTTGATAAATGGATGTAATACTTTTTTTAGAGTATTCATATTGTGTATCTTTGCATAGAGCCTGCTTTGAGGAGCTGCAGCATGAATATCTACTGATATGGTTCCTCTTGGACTATAGCTCTGATTTGATTTATTTGGCTGACATGGCCTTCAGAGCACGAACAGGTGAATCTAACATCATTAGTAGAATTAGATGTCAATTTGTGTCATGATTTCATGTCACCTTTTTTTTAACCAGGGTACCTGGAACAGGGCTTGCTTATCAAAGATGAAAAACTCCTCCTCCAGCGGTACACCGACAGTCTCCAGTTCCGCTTCGACGTCATCTCTATGCTACCCACGGACATCTTCTACTTCGTTTTAGGGTTGGACTACCCAGAGATCCGAATAAACAAGTTGCTCCGCCTGAACCGCATGTTTGAGTTTTTCACCATCTCAGAAACCATGACCAACTACCCCAACATCTTCCGAATCTGCACTTTGGTCATGTACATCATCATCATCATCCACTGGAATGCATGCCTCTACTTCTCCTTCTCCAAGTCCATCGGGTTCGGATCAGATGCATGGGTGTACCCTGATCTCAACGAACCAGAGTTCGGAGAACTCATGCGAAAATATTCCTTCAGCCTGTACTGGTCTACGCTTACCCTCACCACTATCGGAGAGACGCCATCTCCGGAGCTAGACTCTGAGTTTCTCTTCCACGTAGTTGACTTCCTGGTGGGCGTCTTGATCTTTGCCACCATTGTGGGTAACATTGCTACAATGATCTCAAATATGAACGCAGCCCAGGCTCAGTTCCAATCCAGGATCGACAACATTAAGCAGTACATGCATGCGCGGCATGTCAGCAAGGACCTCGAGGAGCGTGTCATCAAGTGGTTTGACTACCTGTGGACTAACAAGAAAGCACAAAATGAAAGAGAGGTGCTGAGGTACTTGCCAGACAAATTACGGGCAGAGTTAGGCATGAACGTGCACTTAGAGACCCTCATGAAGGTGCGGATCTTCGCCGACTGTGAGGCGGGGTTGCTGGTCGAGTTGGTGTTGAAGCTCCGCCCTCTAGTCTTCAGTCCTGGTGACTACATCTGCCGCAAGGGCGATATCGGGCGGGAGATGTACATCATAAAAGAAGGCAAACTTGCCGTGGTGGCTGATGACGGCATCACTCAATTTGTCGTCCTTGGCGATGGAAGCTACTTTGGTGAAATCAGCATTCTAAACATCAAGGGCAGCAAGGCAGGGAACCGCAGAACAGCAAATATTAAAAGCATAGGGTACTCAGACCTCTTCTGCCTGTCCAAAGATGATCTGATGGAAGCTCTGACGGAATATCCCGAAGCTAAAGCAATGCTGGAAGAGAAAGGGAGACAGATTCTGCTGAAGGATGGTCTGCTTGAGCTGGACCCTACCAAACTAAAGCCAGATGAGAGGGACTTGGATGAGCGCGTAAACCGAATGTACAGCACACTGCAGATCATGCAGACCAAGGTAAACAAGCTGCTGGCGGAACAGGAGGAGACACAGAAGACTATCAAACGGCGAATTGTTCAGATAGAGCGCTTGGCTGGGGAAGAGGTGGAGGATGAAGATGAAGAGGAGGAGATGGAAAAGAAGGAAGAAACCCAGGAGGAAAAGAAAGAAGAAGAGCCAGAGAAAGAGAAGGTAGAAGAAGACAAGGAAAAGATGGAAGAAAAAGACGAGGAAAAGATGAAAGAAGAGACCGAAGAGAAAAAGAAAGACGAGGAGCCATAGGATAAGAGGATAGGAACTTGTGAGAATTACTCTGGATGAAATTCACAGATGAAGATAAATCTAAACACTAAATACGTTCAAATTAAAAACAAATACTTCAATCTTGTTCTTATACTGTAGTAACACTAATTGGTTTAGCCAATTTGACTTTGTTGTGCAGCCAATAAATTCTTGTAAAGGCAACTACAAATTTCTTGTCCAGCAAATTGTCAATTAGCAATACCAGTTTTAATTTGTATTCCTTTCTAATATATATATATATATATATATATATATATATATATATATATATATATATATATATATATATATATATAGGCTATATATTTTTTTTTTCATAAAGTAAATCTTTTCATAAGTACAACTCCAACATCGCTCTGAACATCACCACACACTAATAGATAACAACAGTGACAACAAAATAACAGCAGCTTAAATAAAAAACTGCTAACAGAACTGCTAACCGAACACAGCATTATTTATTCATGTGGCAATGCATACTGGGAGCTCTCAAATCAGTAGCATTGTTCTATATTGTTTTTTTTTAGACAACTGTTTAGGGTGTGCTATATTGAGTATACTGTGAATTCCGTTTCTTTTGGGTTTTGATAAATTGTTTCTTAATAATAAAAATATTAAAGATGCAAATTGTTGCACTATACTGACCAGTCAGCATCCAAGACTGAAACAACCAATTTTAAAAGGTGTTATGGATCAAATAATATTTATGAAAACAGAGATTTGAGGCCTTACCAAGTAGTCTGCTTGATGGGCACAAGGGTGCAGCAGAGGACCAAAGATTAATGACCCTTACCTCTTCAAAACCTGAAAATGACAGCATAAACACATGAAGTTATGTCGTCTTTTATGGAGCCACTAAACTTTGTTGAAATGTGCTTGAATGGGGTAAATAAAATAAAAAAATCGAAAGTTTTGTTTTGAACGTGACAATTATAATAGTCACTAAAAAATTTCAAAAAGCAAGTATAAACTGTTTATAGAAGGTTTTGAGACATGTGAAGGGGGCGGTAATTTGCCTGCGTCAGTTGTTTCGACAAAGGAAAGGGAAAAAAGACTTTCGCAAAGGTTGCGGGCTGTTTCAGGGATGCCAACTCTGCGGTTTTAAGTAGGTTTAATGTGTTTTGAGAGGGAGGAATACTTGTGAGGAGCCTTTAAGTCCCTGTAAACTCCTTTATGAAAACAGTTGTTCATGATTAGGCTAGTGGTTCAACGGATTACAAAACTCACAGCTCGGATCATGTTACGGTTTTTGAGTGACGGATCGGATTATTTTTCAGATCAGCAAGAAAAAAGAAAAGAACAAATGCACTAAATAAAGAAAGTTCTAACAAGTATTCAGATACAGAATGTCAAATAACACTATATAGTGTTCACTGTATAAATTAAATATAGATTAATCTTTGTGTTAAAGCTGTGTGTTGTTGTTTGATTAACATTGCAGCAGGTAGACCTATTTATCGGAGACCTAATGCACAGATCCATGATGATACACATCCGATTTCTTTCTCAAAATGTTGATGTTCAGTTCACTTAAACGTACAGTATGTAATTTTTGGCCACCAGGGGTCGCTAATCTCTTACAATAACAAAGGCTTATATCGATGACGCAAAGCATCAAGCGGAATTATGGATCTTGTCGTCAAGCTGATGGATCTTTTATGGATGAGTGAATACAGTGATGTTTTTAACATGACTGTGGTATGAAGCAGGGCGCGATTGCTAATGTGAGACCTTTTTTACAGTCTATGTGAGAGACGTAACGTTATTCCAGCGCCACACGCAACGCGAGTCTGGCGGGTATAAAGGAATAAGGACATTTCATTCTACCGAACTACACGCAAGTGCTGAATTAATAATTAACTCACAGGTCAGTTTATTAGACGAATTAAACTTGAGGTAAGTTAACGCAGCACTGTTTCACTTGCTCTAACAGTTACACTATCACACTAAACGGCATTTGAGTGTGTCAATATATTGAGGTTGTTTTTATGAGACTAGCAGTAAGCTAGATCAACATTAGAATAACATACAGATCATATTCTAACATTTAATCATATTGAACTAAATAACATGTACATTTGCTCACCTGTCTAATAAAGTATGCAACACTCGCGTCTCTGTCGAGTCGAAGTTATGCCGCGTTCCAGGCAACCTGTAACCCGTGTTTTCCCAACTCGTAACTGGGAGTACATCGTTCCAGGCAACCTGTAACCCGTGTTTTTCCAACCTTATAGGCCTACCCGTGAAAGTGCACTGGAACGGCAGTCAAACCCGTGACTTCCCACCCGTGAATTCGTACTAGATCGATGTACTCCCAGTTACGAGTTGAAAAAACACGGGTTACAGGTTGCCTGGAACGCGGCATAAGTCGCAGACGTGGAGCTCTCGGCATAAGATGTTGATCTTCGTTCTAGTCCTCTTTTTGTCTCAAAATCTGCTTGCCATGGTCCAAAATGTTTGAACAAAACAACAAAAGCGTGAGCGTCTTGCTAAGCATAACCCAGTTGTCCACGTCTGTCGCCATGGTTACTATGGCAGTACGAGCGGAAACCGAGGGTAACGCGGATATGACGCCATTGACTTGCGACTCCTCACCCCTGCTGACACGTCCCGTTTCCTTGGTTAAAATCGCAATTTTGTCACGATTTACAAATAGTTGGAAACATTGGAGATATTGTAAGTAATCAACTAAACAAAATATATAACATTGGCCTAGTGGTTTTTGGATATTTTACTGCAAAAATCCTATTGTACCTTTAAGACATAACCGACTGTGTTTACGAGAATATTTGCAGAGAGGGGTATTTTGACATAATATTTTGACATAATTTTGTGTGTCTATTCTGATTTTCAAGTTGATGTTAATGCACAACAGTTACTGTAAAGTATGCATTTTAGATGTTTAGAGTTATGATAGCCTTATTGGACTAGTTTTGCTATGCAGACCTGGCAACCCTGACGTGTTTATACTTTCTCCTAGCTCCTCTGAATGCATCCTTTCTCCTCCTTCGTCACATCCACGTGGTGCATTTAAGTGATGCATCCTTCATCATGGCATACTTTGATCGGTTTCCAGATCACAAGAAGAAACCACGAAGAACCATTTGAGTGTTGATAAGCAGCCCGTGAAGTGTTTCATTATTCACTTTATGCTGAGATAGAAAAAAGGTAACACATGCATCCAAAAATACATACATACTTAATTTTTAACCTTACTTGGATTCTCAAAACATCCCCAGGCAATTTTTGTGGATTTCAAATCTGAATTTTTTAGTTAAATGGCATGTACGCAGATAAGTGGTTTTAAGATGCAAAGATTTAAAGAGCCAGACTTTTGACATTTAAAAAAAAAAACATTGCTCAGGCCTGTAATGGCTATAGCTCTGACTACTCCTTTCATGGCAGTTTGTACAGACCTGCTTTTAATCATGATGTTTTCCTTCTGGCATCCTTCAATTTCCCTTTGGCTGCATTATTGATAATGCAATTACAATTCTACAGGTATGCATCTGTCAGTTTTCGGTTTTCTAAAAGTTTAGGTCATTTTTTCATTTTGAGACATCTTTTTTAACAGTGTTTCATTTCCATGAAGCCTTTGATTCAGTCAGGAATTATTAGGGATCCTTTGGATAGAAGATACCATCTTATATGTGGAGTGGTTACTGTGTGTGTGTGCCTCAATATTATCTATTCTTTCATTTTGAACAGTCCCACCTGTTCTCTTCTCCGACAATTTCTGTCACATGTGGACACTTATTGTATTTGCTCAGAGAGGTGATGAGAAAAGGAAGTAAGCTGAAAAAAAGGAAATGAAAGAACAGTGGAAGTATGTCTCTCATGGGAAAGCAAGATAAAAAAGAAAGCTATTGCCTGTGATGTCAGCCATGAAAAGGGCCCTCAACCGTTTCGTCTCTTGAGCAGCTGGAGCTACGCGTTTAATTAATTAGAATTAGTCTGTCACTTTTAGAGGCAAATCAAAAAGGACCATATGACTTTCCTTCAAGGAGAAGTTACTTGCTGAATTAACTTGTTAACACAAGTGTTGGGAATATGAACGCATAGGTACAACTTTTTGTTAATTTGAATGAAAGCTAGATTGGAACATGTATGAATGAATGAATGAATGTGTGATTTATGGGAAGGAGAGAGAGAAAGAAAGCAAGCCAGTATCATTGAGACAGAAGAATCTGATGGCTTGATTTGTACAGTGGTCAGTCAAGCAATTTTATCATCCCATTTGGCCTGTCAACGCAGGGACACTCAGCCCACCGCATCAATGAGAGCACAGGTGGCTTTTTCTAAGAAGCCGATTGGAAGAGCCAATGCGAAATTTCTTATACGAAAGAAATGGTGGCACAACAAGGGTCTATCAGTAGGGAATATTGCGTCTCGCTGAGTATTGTCATCGGACGCTCTGATTTGAGCAGTTAATGGAAGTCACTTAGGCAGCTCACACCAGGATGGTTTGGAGTCTGGTGGCAGAAAGATAGACCACAGCATGTAGGAACCTGCATTTTGGTCTTACAAGCTGGTTCTTCCTTGTACTTCCTGTTGTTGCTTAGAATGCTTAAACACTTAACTGTCCCTTTCTATTAGTGTGTGTAACTGACCAGTTAGCCGGTGTGCTATTGTTTCTCCTAAACAATTTACTTCACGATAATAGCATTTGCAGTTGACCGGAGCCGCTCTGGCAGGGAAGAAAGCTGGCCTATTGGAAAAGTGACATCCTTTGACAATGGCACTCAGGGCCAGCCTGTGGGTTTCTGGGGAACCGGGCGAGGTCATTAAAATGGACCCGCCGGTCTAAAAATTGTTGTAACTTAAAAATATGCATAAAACCACTGCAGTGTGATGAGTGGAATCACACTGTATATACTAAATGTATATATAATTATGCACTGAAATTATGCACTTTTTTTTTTTACACACAGTGTGTAGGGCCTATGTAATATTTATTTAGAACAACTGGGGCAGAACTATGTATAAAAGTGATTATTTCTTTCAGTTAAAAAAACAGATTTTGCAGAAAATTTTCTGTCTACCGTGATGTCGAATTTTTTTTATAAATAAAACTATATAAATTAAACCAGGTACATACAATCACATCACTTTGAAAACAAAAATG